CCAAAATGCAGCTGCAAAAAGGTTACTGATTGTGTGTGTGAATTGTGAGTGTCACAGGGGACATGACTTTGACTGGGGTTTTTGGGTTTTTTTCCTCTTTTGCATGGCTTTATTTGATTGCCAGTGCCCAAGTTAACTTTGCCTCCCAGGTTTTCGCTGTTTAAATCTCATACCACGTCCCCTTTAACTCTGTTCTCTGTGGTGAATCTGGGTTCACTTTAGCTTTTCCTGACATCCTTCTGGTCACTTGTGAGCTTCTTAAGATGAAGATTGGCGTAATGTTTCCACCTGTGACTTTGTCAGTGTGTAGCAAATACTTGCTGAAAAAGCATCCCTCTTCAAAGTATTTCTTGGTGAGAAAAGTTGTCACAAAGGCAGCTGATGGACTGGGAAGAGTTTGCATTTTGAACAAAAGCTGAGAAACTGCATGGTACACGTATTTGTATTCCAGCTGTGCAAGTCCTGCAGGAGGATTGAACAACAATAGAGTCTGTGTTTAGTGTGTATCTCTTCCAAATATATATTCAAGAAATCCTTAGGGTGCAAAATTCTATTTGAGGCAAGTACTTTTCTCAGTGCTTTCCTCTCCAGAAACTTATGAAGATAACCTTTACGACAAGCTCTAGAATAATTTGATTACAGGCCTTACTACATATATTTTACATACAGATAATTGGAATAGTTCACTGCATTTTTTTTTTTCAGAATGAGGGGGGAAAAAAAAGGATTAAAGAAAACAGAGAAGGTGATGTGAAGGGTGGTGATTATATTTGCTGCCCTCAGCTCTTGGCTCGGTTATTTCTCAGTTTGAGTTGCTAATTTCTCTACCAGTTTAATTAATACTGAACCAAGAGTTCAGTATTCCTGTCTTTGCCAGTTTGTGGGGTAATCCCTGGGTACATTTCTGATGTGTTTCGAGATCTGTATGCATCAGGAGCTCTCTGCAAGAAAAGCTAATCTGTTTTGTGGAGATATGTGCACTGCACCCAGAATATAATACTTACTCCTAACTTTCTTCATGGTGTTTTCCCTTATGTTCTGTTCCTAAGTTCTGGATAACATGAGCTCATTCACCTCAACAAGTGGTAAGTTCATGCTCTTTAGCAGAGTTTATAGTTGTGAGTAGGCAAAGACTTTAATTTGCTACCTGTAGTAATCTACTTCAGATGTAGTTTCTAGTATTAGCTGTAGTGTCCTGTAGTTTTATGCCAGTGATGACCAGATCTGCAAAGAAGATGTGGAAGACCATACTGCTGCTGCAGAAATAGAGGGTATGTGCTGCTTAGGAGTATCCTGTTCTGACTAGTCACTCCAGTTATTTTTTGAGGGTACCTGATACACTGAGCAGCGCTGGGTAAGAGCCCCTCTGCTGGGTCCCAGGCACTAAGCTGTACATAACATCTGATGGAGAATAACTGATGAGGTCAGAGCTCTAGTTCTTGTGTGGCTCTATTCCTTCCTTCCTGTCTGGGGTGACAACTGACAATCTCTGTCCCTTTTACTCTTCAGTGTGAGTAAATTTCCTTTGAGCTTTAAGGCAGTGCAATGGCTGTGATGTAGAAAGCGTGCAGGCCTGGCTGTGTGAAACTGCCCTCTCCATCCTTACAGCCTGATGCTTCCACGTTGCTCTCCAGTATGCAGTGTGGAAAAGAGCTGGGAGGCTCGGGTGGGAGCTGGCTTCTCTAAGTTGGAGAGCAGTGCCTGGCTGTGTGAGTTTCCTTCCTTTTTCCCCATGGGTGGCAGCTAACTGAGCCTCTCCCAGCTGGAGCTTACCCCCATTGCCCCTGCAACAGTGCAGGGCAATGTATAAATACAGATTTATACCTAGAATACAGTGTTTAGGGGCTTCAGAACCAGAAGTCTTGCAAGCCTATGGATGCTGCGACATGTGTTCTTTGGGCACCTTCTGAAGAATTAGACTACTAATGTCTAAAGTGTTCAAGTCATAAAAATGAAACATCTATTTTCTATGTAAAATATGTTCAGCAACTGGTAGCAATAGTCACAGCAGCAGTGTGTTTGACTGCTGGAAAGCAAGTGCACCGCAGACCTATCTTTTTGCCTTCGTCTTCCCTAAGGAGACTCAGCTGCTGAGGCACATCAGAAGCTCCAGGATCTCCCCCACTTGTTTTGTTTTCTCTCTCCCTCAAAGCACTGACAGCTCAGGGCACTGTGAAGTGCAGACCAGGCCCTTCCCTCATTGCTGACAAAGGCAGTACAGGCTGAGGCATTGGAAAGTATCCCTTGTTCCCCATCAACCCTAGATGAAAACAGATCGAGTAGACATGTCATGTGGCCCAGACTTGGCTGGCAGGATCATGCTACACTGGAGTCACTGTAGGGTAGAAGATGATTTTTCCAAGTCATACAGTTAGCTCCACCTCTGGAATGCTGACTAATGCTCAACAGCTGGGTAACCTCCTTGTAAGCCCACTAGTAACTGAAGTTACTAGTTTCCTTACTGTTCTCTGTGAAACCTCTGTGACCCAGAAAGCACAGACTCTCTGAGTAAAGAGGGCTTCTGCTCTTCCTTTACTAGGAAGACATTAAAAGTCAGTAATAGAAAATCAATGTCGTGCTTGATAGCAATGGTTCATTGTATTTTGGATGCATCAACATTAGGAGAGTTGTAAATTGGAAGTGTCTCTAATAGGAAGAGAGACTGATTAGACTTGGCGGGCAGGATTGAAATAAATCATTCTGCCACATTCTCACTTCTAATAAGGGGAGGAGGATCAGATGCACATGCAGATACCAGCTGTCTAAAGTGTTAATGCTTCAACAGCCTCAGTACTTATTAGAGTTTCTTTGCATAAATTCAGCATTACTTGCTAGAAATTAGCCCATAGAAAGTAGGCTGATGATCAAGAAAAAAATCCACAGATTAAGTGTGTGGTGGAAGGTCCTGTTCTCCCCCTGAAAAACAGAAACTGGACATGACACTAGAAAGTGTGCTGCTAGGAAGCAGTTCCCTGTTAATGCCTTAATAATATGGCCCTGGTGACCCTAAAAGCTTGTCTCTGGAGGAGACTGTTTGCAGATGAAATCTGCTGAGGAAATGTGAGAGACTTACAGAACTCTGCAGTCTTTTCAGGATAAAACGCAGCAGTTTCTGCAAAATATCTGTGCGCTCTTCCACTGTTGCTGCCTCTAAGCTCTTTAAAAGCCAGCAGGTTATAAAGCAGAACAGAAATGTGCTAAGACTGATGGCTCCCATGATCTTCACTTTACTTTTTCTAGAATAAGTTTTCAAAGTATACGTCTGGCTGATGATGTCACCTTCAAGTGCTTTTAAGCATTTCCCCTTACAAAAAAAGCAGCTGATCAAAACCGTGCAGGGTCCCTTGTAGGGGGGAAGGCAGATGGTATGACCTGTTGGGGATGAGCGGGTTTTGGGACTGTATTGGATTTCTTTGTCCTACAGCGTGTTTGAGCTTTACAGTTTACTTTTGTCTTTTCTCTGTCACAAGCCCCACCTTTCTTTCGCATACGTAAAGTTCTCTTTTATGGTGGTAAGACCTCTCCTTCTTTCATTTACTTCCCTGTAGTTTTATCCCCATGGTGGCAAGCCTCTCCTTTACTGCTTAGATGGCTAGGTAGTCCTCGTAGCAGTCCTTGGGCTTCTGGGGCTGCTTTGCATCTTCCTCTTATGCAACTTAGTAATGTTTTAAATGTCCTAAAAAACAGGAGAAGGCTTGAATTACTTGCTTTTAGTGCAGTGCTTAGTTTTCGGGAAATAAATCTGATCTGAGTGCTTTTTACCTCCAAGTCAGACCTTCCTTCTGCAGGAACAGTGCTTTCCCCATGCAGGAACAACACCTGGGTGGCAGCGCATATCAAAGTTAATGAAGTTATAATTGTCCATTGATTTCCTCACTCTCACAGGGAGCTAAGGGGGCACCGTTATTGCTGTTTGGTTTCCTGTTTTAGATCTGCAGAGAGAGCTTTGTATTTTATTCTGCAGTTGTTCTTGAAGCAGGTCAGCAGTTGAGATATTGGGCATTTTAATTTCTTTATAACAATTTTGAGGTTTCTTTTTTTGAGATTGTATCTGTGTGGATCTGCTACATGTAATTAGAAGAAAATCTGTATTACACTGTTACAGAGGTTTCTGAACAACTCACTGGAGTGTTCCACTGCTTGGGATTTGACAAGGTTTATGGAATAATTATGCATGAAAAGTTCTTTGGTTTTTGTGTTTTCAGTTGAATAATTCATAGTTTACTTGGCCTTTCTTCTTGTGTGTGCATATTGTTGAAGCTTCAAGAGAGATGTGGAAGTTTCTTAATGTTTTGAAATAGTAGCATGAATTCACATTTACTTGAAAATAGATTATGATATTCTAAGATAAGCTTGTCTGTCAGGTAAAAAAATGGGGACATTTTGTATCATTAAGACATGCCTTCTGCTGATGAATCTGTAACATGTGTTACTTGCCTGTGCATAAAGCGACCCAGTTACTGGATACTTGTACCAAAATCCTAGATTAAAGCCATTCAAAGTTAAGAGAAAGACTTCCTCTTTTTAACATAGTTGGATCTTGTCTACACATCAGCAGTGATGCCCTTGGAAAGTTACACAAATAATGAGGTAACCACATAAAAGACAGGAAGACGAGACTGAAGTCAAATTTTGGGGGAAAAAAACCTTTAGCTTAAGGCAAAATCATATATGTTTCAGTCTCATATCTCACAGTGTAGCCATAGGCTAGCAGCTTGCTGTGGTGCTAGAGTGAACAAAGAAGCCTGGCACAAAGTGCATTCATGCTGTTGAAGCTTGGCAGAAGAAAGAGATGGATACAGACAGGCAGCACCAGGGAGCGGCTGTGCAGAATTGGTCAGCTGATATTTCAGGATGACAGTACAGGCAAAAGCCAGATGCTGAGCCCTCTTAGCATCTTGAAAAAGTAATTAATTGCATTCTTTTCAAGGGGGATTTTGAAGAGTAGTGTTGCAGTAGAAGGGGCTGCCTGTGTAAGCACATGAGGGATGGCTTGGGAGAAAGCGTTGAGAAGCTTTTGGGAGAACTTAACAAGTAGTTTAAAAACAGGGATTGTGGGCTGATCAGAGGTGGGAGTCAACTGCTGAAAGATGGTAGTGTGGATGTAGGCTGTGAAGGGCCTTGAGAGCGAAGGCATGGAGCATACATTTCTCATGAGAAAGAGAAGTGAGCAGTGGTCTAGGGAGATTATGTCTGCAGGAACATAGTTCTGGGTATGGCAAGTGTTTTAGCAGCATAGGTGTGTGGGAATGGTCATGTTGTAGAGCAGCAAGCAAGTAGGTATCCATGGGTCACTTCAGTGGATTGTGTTTAGGAAGGCAATACAAATAAGAAAACAATTGCCTTCTGAAAGAGAAGTGTCATGAATTTCTCCAAACTGAGGATCAGGGAAGGCTCCAGCTCCTGTGTGGCTTGTTTGAGCTTGCTTGTGACTCACACTGTCAAACTAAGGAACTTGATTCTTTCTACTTTTGTCTCTTAGGGGATGTAGTGTAACATGTTGGTATTGACTTTGTTTATATCCTAGAATGAACAGATTTGCTCTCTTTGATTTATTTCCTGCAAAGATGAAATCTGGACTGTCATATGTTAAATGGAAAGGCCACAAGATATTGCTCTATTTTTGTTGCTTTGACAAGCAAAAAGTCTTTAACAAATTGAAGTATTAATTAGAGCTACAGAAA